AAACATTAAACATTGTTGCAGAGGGTTATTTACCAAAAATGCATCTAAAAAGTTATTATACCATTGCACAGTACATTCTTAGCATGTTCTCCTAGTTCAATATGCAACACCCCAGCATATTACAAATCCTGTTGCGTTGTGTAGCGGCATCTATTAGTGACAGAGTGCTTACTTTGTCTTTTTCCACAAATTCCACATAGGAGGTTCTCTCGATCTCGACGGGCTGTCCCTGCCGGTCATACAGGGCCAGAACGAAGTGGAAGAAGTTTGACTTGCGCAGGTTCGAGGGAGGCTGTTTCTCATAATGGGCTCTTGCCAAACCCACACCACTATGAGAGAGACGGAGAGAAAGAGACAGAGACAGAGAGATTAATGTACTGTAACCCTAATAATCGTTCAAAATATGAGCTTGCAGAAAGATGAAATGGCAGTTTCACATGAACCTTCACAAATAATATCACATTGCATATAAATTCATAACATTGAAAAGTCACCGCAGTGTCTAATTTGATAAGTTCTGCATGTGAATCACAACATTGGAATCTACATGGGAATACGAAGAGTGTATAATAATTCCAAATAAAATATGTAAAACGATAAAGACTACAGGAAACACAAACAGTAAATTAGAGCTGTTGCAAAGAGAGATGACAGGAAATAACTGAAAGGTGTTAGAAGAGAGATATTTGGCTTGTTTTCTCATGCCATGAACTCTATTGTCTGCCCCTGTCTGCTCTGCCACCTCAACAATTGGAATCTGGCACAGAGCGGGGGACCCCAGAAGGCACCGTCTGCTTTTGCGGCTACCAATCGCTACTGGGTACGGCTCGCCTTGGCAACTGCTGCGCTCCTCTTTCCCTGACCTGTCAGTCAAACCCGCTCTGGCCTCCCCAGGGTTCAGCCGATAGAAGCCTCCATCCTGACTCTCGCACTTGAGCATCGATTAGAACGCGTGGCAAACGACGGACTGACAGAGACCGAGTAGCTGTGCGCAGCCCGAAAGGAGGAGGCCCGCACCTCTACGCCAACCCTGCACGTCCACCTATCAATCAAACCGTCAGCCCTGGTCCACTGACGCAAACGCTGATCATCTTTCCATGCCTGGATCAGTGGACACATGGGCCTCAGAGAGAGATGAAGGCCTGAAGTAAAGGACGGAAGATTAAAATGCAGGTGGTCTATTTTTAATAGGGTGGTAATGCATGCATCCCTTTCCTCAAGCAGAAACCAATGTCAAGCACTTAATCTGACACTTTATTTGACCACATTACAATTTAACAAAGGAATACTTTTATTTATATTCATTAAATTAAATGATTTAAACATAATCTAATCATAATAATTAAATAATACAATATAATTTTAAAAAATTATCTATTTATAAATAAATATTGATGTATTTAAAGGTGATGTTGGACCACAAGCATCACCAAAAATGACTCTTTCAAACAGGTTTGAAAGAGTCACGAACACATCTGTCATTGGTTGCCAAACAGATCCTGCTCCAAATGCACACTATTGGTTGAGTCAATGTTGCTATTTAATTTTTTATTTTTTATTTTTTTTGTAGAAATTAAATCAACTTACAAATGGCTTACATACACTACCATTCAAAAGCTTGGGGTCAGTAATTTTTATAAATTCCTTTATTCAGCAAAGATGCATTAAATGTATCAAAAGTGACAGTAAAGACATTTATAATGTTACAAATATTTCTATTTCAAATAAATGCGTTTTTTGTTTATTGTTTATTTTTTACTTTTTCAATACTGAAAAAAGATATAATGTTTTCCACAAAAACATTAAGCCGCACAACTGTATTCAAGAAATGTTTCTTGAGCACTGAAGACTCTTTCAACGGCTGCTGAAAATTCAGATTTGCATCAATGGAATAAGTAGCATCTTAAAATATATTAACATAGAAACAGTTATTTTAAATTGTAATAATATTTCACAGTATTCCTGTGTGTGTGTGTGTGTTTACTGTATTTTTGATCAAATAAATGCAGCCTATTTAAGAATAAATGACTTTTTCAAAATTACTAAAACATCTTACCAACCCCAAACTTACACATGGCAGTGTACTGCATGTACGTTTCTGCATATTAAGCTGGGACAGGAAAACGTTTTGTTTTTTTTCAAATAATTAATAAAAGAATGACATCACCTTCAAGTCAAAACAAGTGCCTCGTAATATTTATAATTCCTTAAATCATTAAATTAAAAAGCGTGTAATGTTCACATACATAAATTGCAGCTGTCATTGTTAAGTCTGTTCATTATTTACTCGTTACTCTGATGAGGTGGGCTGAAATGCCTTTGAATCTCAAAAATATGCTCATACATAAATATTTATTCATTTGCGGAGCTCGGGGTGGGGAGCCAGTGTTTTGGAAAGCGGCCTGCTCTCTGTCTCCAATCATTGAGATATTCCCCTGATAGGACATTAATAAAGCCTGACCCCTCCCCAGTACTATTACCAGGGCTTAATGCTTCATTTGTATCTGAGCATGGTGAAATCTCATTCGTGAAGTTGAGGTTACTACACTGAAGGCAAAAACAGCTTTCACAGAAGAGGCTGTGGGAGGGGGGTTCAGGGAGGAGCACATTTAAAGCGGATGACTTCAACTTAAATGGGAAATATGATCTTCTTCATCTGTAGTAATTGATTTGCAGTGAAGATCTTTAGCAGTCTGACTGGTCAGGGCGGTGCTAAGTCTGACAGATGTCCTCTAAATGCAATAAGAAAAAAGCATACAAAATAAGTAAAATATGAGCTTTAAAGATTAGAATTATACTATATTCTATATAATTATATTATATTATGTCAAAAACATTACTTGTCCATTAACACGTTTTTTAAAATCAAAACATCAAGATTTTAGGGTCAAATTTAGATAATTTTATATATATACAGTCGTGGTCAGAATTATTGGCACCCTTGGTAAATATGATCAAAGAAGGCTGTGAAAATAAATCTGGATTGTAAATCATTTTGATCTTTTATTTAAAAAATTCTCATAAATCTAACCTTTCATTGGAGAATAAGAATTTAAAATGGGGGAAGGAATTGTCTCTGACTCTTGTTAGGTACTCTCTAACCTCATCAGGTATTATAGGAGAAAACTCAGAGCTGTTATTATGCCAAATGGAGGTTTCAAAAAGAATTGAATAAAAGGGTGCCGTTAATTGTGTCCAATGTGTATTAGAGAAAAATTGTATTGCACTACAAAAAATAGAATAAAACAATTAAATATTAAATATTTTGATATTAAATATAGCATGTTACACAGTAGGATACATCAACAGTCTGGGCCCAAATCCTGTGTCTGCACTGCATGAAATGCACAAGCACACGCAAACACAAATTATCACCATCGCATAGGAAGACAGAATTACAAATGACACATTTGCGGGGGAGCAAGAGAAGAAAAAAAACTGTATCACACTTAAACACACACGTATTGCATCATGAGCTTCTCTCCATTACCCCATCAGCTCAGTTACACAGCCAGGCGTCATGTTTCTGATGGAGTGAGGGAGAGAGACAGCGTTCCCGCATGCTCTCGCAAAGGCACGGATCTTTACACGCAGGAAACGATCGACTCAGAAAGCTTGTTAGTGTTATTATTTTAATTATGTTGATTGCTGCCATATCCACTCCAGCAGTTATGAGGCAGAGGCAGAGGCACGATTGGACGGCTCTCGCTCACTCCGTATTGAAATAACTGCTATCGAGGTGACAAACACACACACACATAGACAGCAGAGCTGTGTAAATCAGTCGCTAACGGATGGCTACAGCACACGGTCTCACAACGGTCTCCGTTAAACACACTGTTTGACATGTTCTCGCCACAGAGTGGAGAGAAATAAAAGGGAGAAAAAAAACATGCAAGCCAGAAACAACCCTAGTTCTGACAATTCTGGACGTAAAAACACCCTCCACTTTTATTTGAATCAATAAATACCGTCTCACAGAACGGCTTTAACAATAAACCACTCATAGCAGGAGCTGAAGGGTTTGTAATGATGACATTTCAGAATACGAGAGCGCTGTCTTTCTATGCAGCGGCAGTCGGTGGCTCAGTCTGCGGCCCTTTGCACACTGCAGGCTTAATGCGATACAGCAAAGTCTAATTATGTTAAATGAAAAAAGTAACCCCAGGCTAAAATCCTCACAGCTCAAGGGCCTGAACACTTGAGGGAAATGGATACTAAGACTCAAACTCTGAAATCATCTGCTAATGAACATGCAGAGGAGAAGAACTGCCAATACACAGGACACAGCAGGATCTGCTGAGTTATTGAGGAGTTAGTTGACGTGTGTGAATAAAAAAGAGAGGTGAGTGATGCCTTTGCCTGTACATCTCAATAAAACAATCATCTTAGTGAAAAATAATAAGATCGATCATAATGATTGCATATGTTTAATCATTACATTTGACAGAAAACAATGCAAATATGTCATTTACAACACATTTAACTGCCATAACTTGACATATTTCAGTGTAAAGCAGAATATTTAGTCTTCAAAAAATTAATATCAGCTATCAGGATTTGTTCATTACTGCATTAGTTACAACTACTTTTTCCCGCCCACATGGCCTAGGTTATGTCAGCAAAAAATGTTTCAGAGGTCTATAAAGTTATTAACCATTGTTAAAAGATGCATACTTAACATCAAAGTATCAGGTTTATACTGCAAGTTTTTTGAGCTGATACTAAACAAAATGTGATAATATGCATGCAAGTCCTGCAAAAAAATGTCATACTTTGAGTTCTGACGAATCCCAGCTATAAAATATATACATATACAGTATACAATATACAGTACTAGGATTTTCTAACTGGTATCCACACTGTAGTGGTTCACTCCTGCCAACTGTCTATTTAAATGTGTTTATATTTTTTTGCAATGTATTGGACAAGAAACATTATTCATTGCATTGTTGAAAAATATAATTAAACAAATGTAATACCTGTCAAATTTTGATTAGGTCAGGAGACCATATTAAATGAATTAGAAAGGATAAGATTAAGATTAATTCAAAAAAGGAATTACTATTATTATTTATATAATTTAGTGGGAGTCTCTGCAGCCCCCAAAATGAAGTCAAAGAGAGTAAAGAAAATGAACATTCATTTTTAGGTCATTCTGATTTCATGTTATCTTTAATGTACACTAGCGTTCAAGGGTTTGAGGTCCGTAAGATTTTTTAATGTTCTCAAAAGTATTCTCTCAAGCTTACCATGGCTGGTCTTATAAAATACAGTAAAAACAACTAGTTATTATTATAATTAAAATTTTGTTTCTATTTTAATGTTTTAAATATATCATTTATTCCTGTGATGCAAAGCTTAATTTTCAGGAGCCATTAGTCCAGTCTTCAGTTACACGATCCTTCAAAAATCCTTTTAACACGCTGATTTGGTGTTCAAGAAAATGTCCTATTATTATCAATGTTGAAAACAGTTGTGCTGCTTAATATATTTGTGGAAACCATGATATATATATATATTTTTTTTTTCAGTATTCTCTGATAAACAAAGTTCAAAATAACAACGTTCATTTGAAATATAAATCTTTTGTAACATTATAAATGTCTTTACTGTCACGTTTGATCACTTGAATGCAACCTTGCTGAATAAAAGCATTGATTTCTTTCAAAAACAGTAGTGTATACATTTTGTATTAACTATATTAACCAATTCTAACTACTTTTCCATGAGGTGTCTGTTAAAATGCCTGTGAAACAGAGATATACGTATATGACACAAGTAGAGTGTGTGTGTGGCATATGGGTGGCATCACGGACTGAGCCCCACATCTCAGTGACATTAATCACGGCTGTGATGGACTGTGACAGAGGGAAGTCTTTAACTACAGCTCGCCTCTCTCTCTCTCACTATCGAACTAATGAGCCGTACAGCAGCACT